TGAATAAAGTTATTTATGCAAGTGTATATATTACTTGAACTGCTCATTTCTCAGTGTTTAATGTTTTTGTGCCTTAGTGTGTGCTCATGTCTGGACTATTATAGCAGCAGTGACTCGACTGTAAGAAGAGCAGACTCAGAGAACAAAATCTGCCCCGTGATATTAGATCTTTATTCCTTTAGTCCTTATGTGTCACCCAACAGTCAGCACACAGATGGGATACTAAGCCTGTGTTTTCACCACAGACTTGTCAGAGCCCTTTTCACTTTGAACAACAATGCATCCCAAAGACTCACTGGGAGAAGTGACCCAGAACGAAACTCAGTAAGGCAGGTCAGATGTCCGTTTGACACGCTCTCTGCAGGAGGTGATGAGAAGGGCTTGGGCTGAGTTTGATAGGAAGCAGCTGGGATGATGAAAACCTTATTTATAAAAGCATAAATACAGACAAAATAGACTCTCATTCTGAAATTTACAAGCTATTTTATGCAAAGTACTTGTAGTGTCACAATTAAATTATTTATGTTTTGTCAGTTGTGGGCATCAGAGCCTCTAATATCTAATTTAAAACAACGAGGAAATTTACTCAAAAACTTATAAATAAGTATTCCACATGAATTATATATTTATTTACAAGCTTTGGCAAAACATTAATGACTTAGTCATTAATGTGTAATATATATATACATTCAAGAGTTAATGTTAAGAGTTAAAAGAGGTATTCATTTCAGTAAATTTAATTTAATCTAATTCACGTTTTATTTTACATCTGCAATTCTCCTGCTTGGTTTACAGAATGCCATAAAACATGTATTTAGTTGCTGCTGTTGTTGCTTTTGTTTAAAAAGAAACCACTTTATGTGAAGCTCTCATAGCAAATGGTTTGAGTTTGCAAATATATTTTAGGTGTCGTTATTTACACAACTTGTTTGACCTTCTACCCATGATACAGCAGATAAGACAGCAGCATTACACAAGTTATGTGATGTAACGTTTTCTCCTGGAACATTTGTTTTCATTTCCATGAAACACTGTCATAGATTTGTATTTTTAACTGTAAGAAAATTAACATTTGATGCTTTAATTCCTATATAAATTTTGAGAAATACTTCAGTTTTTCTACACAAACTGACAGGGAAGTAAACTATTTCCATATTTATTTTAATGGCTGTAAGGAGAAAAATAAATATATTATAACTATGTATTTAGATAATCTAACATCACAGAATCCTAATACATAAAAGGTTATGATTATTGTGTGATTGCAAAAACGTTAGTGAAAATTTGGTACAAACTCTGTATTTGTCATGCTCCCCATCTGTTCATGTTTCTGCTTCTTCATGCCACGATCACGTCCTCTGTCACCTGCCACGCTCACGCTTCACTCGCTGATCACCAGAGCTTATTCACTGCACCTGTTCATGCCTGTCACGGTCCTGATGTGCTCACACTGGACACACAACATACGGAGTCCAGACCAGATGACGTTTTAAAAGTTTTATTAAACCCAGGTCTGGACACAAGAGAGGAACTGGGAGACTAGGCAAAAATAAACAAAAGAGAGGGAGAAGCCGCAAACCAGCCAGTAATTGGCTTTTGGATCTTTGGTCGCTCCCCTCACCCTGCCTCAAAATCTCACCCTACAACAAAAACCCGGAAAAGTCCAGCCCTGCCACAAACCCCAACATCAAAAGGTTCAACAGCAATCACGTGCAGTTTCACAGGACAGAATCTGCATAAAGCAGGAGAGGGAGGGAGGTTCCAGGCAACGCCAACCATCAAATGCTCATCCGGTCTCCCCTCTGTCTAGTAGGTGGAGCTTAGCCCTTTTAAAACCCCTTCCAGCCAATCAGCTATAAGGAGAAAACAGACAATTAATCTGGCGTTCATTCATAAAAGGTGACACAAGGACATGTCACAATGCTCATATTTAAGGACTCCTCTCACCACTCATTGCCGCCAGATTATCATGCCATTCTTGGTTTATGATATCCAGCCATCTTGTTCCTGTTCACGCTCATACCTGACTCTCAAGCCTTGTTCTTTGGATTCTATTTAACACTTTAGGATTTACCACCCTGCCTGCTCCTCTTCTGATTCTGCTCTGCCCATCTAACCCTAGAATGACTATGTTTTCTGCCTTTCAGATTCTGGATTTACGGATTGCCCATTGCACTTCTTTTTCTGGACCTCTGACTACCTGTGCATGACCCCCGCTTCGTTTCTCAGACCTCACTTTGGATTGCTCCACAGACCACGTTAATCACAGAGCTCCTCCGCAGCTATGATATGACAGTGATGTCATATCTACAAATTCTGACAGGTGGCTCTCACTCCACCTGCCTGTGGAGACATGTTATTGCAACTGGACACTTTAACCAACAGTTGCAAATAAAAAAAAAGTTTTAGTAATTTTCACTCTTGTTGTCTGGCTAAGTGTTGAATCCAAAAACCCAATTCCTGACAGTATTTTTTGTTTTGTTTTTTTCTGAAAAAAAATCTAATAAAAAAGTTGTCTAGGCAGCATGGTGGCACAACTGGTAGAGCTGCTGCCTCTTAGCGAGCAGGTCCCCGATTTAAATCGGGGGGCCTTTCTGGGTGGAGTTTGCCTGTTCTCTCCATGCATGTGTGGGTTTTCTCCGGGTACTCCGGTTTCCTCCCACAGGCTAAAAACATGCGTTAGGCTGATTGGTCCCTAGGTGCAAGTGAAAGAGTGAATGGTTGTTTGTCTCGTTTGTCTCTATGTGTCCCTGTGATGGACTTGCGACCTGTCCAAGGTGTACCCCGCCCCTCGCACAGTGATTGTTGGACATGGCACCGGCGACCCCCATGACCCAAAATGGAAGAAGTGGGGAAAAAATAATGGATGGATGGATGGATGGAAGTTGTCTAAATAAATAATATTGATTTAATCTAAACAAATCAAAGGGGGCATTCTTTGCCAAAATAGCCAACTCTTGTGAGGTAGAAAAGGGTTGCCTGGAGCATTTCTCAGTTAGAAATCATTACATAAATGACAGACTGCATTACTTGCATTTTTCCGACTAATAAACTAATATTACAAAAACATAACGGACAGTAGAATAACTGAGAAATCTTCAGAAATTCAAAGCAATGTATTATTAAAAAAAAAAAGACATAAACCTAATCTTAAAAGTAGACAATTGAGATGGTGTAGAGGCAGGGCAGCCGACTTGAGACCTGAAGGCCATGGGTTCAATCCCCGGTCATTGCACATCTCGTGATGTCTCAGGACACCCTATCCCCAGTTGCTCCAAGGGCGCCCCACATAGCTGCCCACTGCCCCACATGGTGGTGGATGGGTTAAAAGCAGAGAGCCAATTTTGCCATTTTATGGGGACATAGAATGATGACAATACATAACACACATCAGTCCAAAATAGTTCTTTAAATATTTTTGTGTGGTGTTAATGTGCTCAATGAATTGTTTTAAATCACAGTTCAAAGTATGATTAAATGTAAAATTATTTAAATTAAAAGGGGAAATATTAATCTTTTTTCCATGCAAGGTAAAATTGCTGCCTACCAGTTTGACAAACAGGGCTCTAACTTTATGTTTGATTTTGACTACAAAAATAATCAAACTTATTTTAGCTGACACATCACTCAGTTTAGGGAGCTGTGAGAAAACATCACCTGTTTCTCTCCTGCTGATCCAGGAAAGAGAAACTTTGTAAATACAGTACAGAAAACTGAAGCAGAGGCTGCTTACTGAGTGTTTATCATCTGTGGAGAACATGAAGCTGGGCGGCTGTGGCTGAGTGGGTAGAGCAGTCGTCCTCCAATGCAAGAGTTGGGGGTTCAATTCCAGCAACAGTCACATGCTGAAGTGTCCCTGGGGTAGACACTGAACACCTCATTGCCTCCAATGTGTGTCCCATCGGTGAATGAATGTGATAAAGCACTAATTACTCTCTGTATAGATCTAGTAGAGTGCTGTATGAATGGGTAAATGATGGCACAGATTGTAGTGTAAAGAGCTTTGAGTATCTTCATCAGCTAAAAAAGCGCTATATAAGTACAATCCATTTACCATGTTTTTCAGCCTATAACTTGCATTTTTTCGCATAATCTGCATGCCCTGCGACTTATATACCGAAGCAACATATTTATGGAATTTTTTCCCATATTTATAAACCAATTTTTGGCTTAGATATGACCGTTTTCATTCATTCTGACTGAAAAAAATTGAATACTGCAATTTTTCAGCAACTAGATGGAACCAGAGTAGTATAGCATGCCGTTGTGTCATGTAATAGGCAAAAGTGGCTATGAATGACACAATCAGCTTACCACAGCTGCCACCTTTTTCCAGCTCGCTTGGAGCAACAGTCAAATCAGCTTCATTTTGTTGTGCCACCGGTGAAATGCAACTAATTTAACCATTTGACCTTACTGAAAAATGTTGGATTTTATACCTGGATTATTGAGCATGGACTTTGTTGTTTTCAACCAGTTTGACAAGATTGTCAACAAGGAAGAGGGCCAGCAATGGAGGAGGGGTGTGCCAAAGAGACCATCTAATCACAAGCAGAACTGGTTTGTTCCACTTTGGAGTAAGCAGTTGGAGGAAGAATCTGTTTTGTTGTGTGTTTCCTTGACTGATGAAACCTTCTGGATCGAAGGTGAAACGTTTCAGCACAAAAAAAGAAACTGTCCAGATGACCTGACTGAAAAATGTTGGATTTTATACCTGGATTATTGATGGACTTTGTATTTAACCATTGAATTGCATTTATTAAGCAAAAGTTCAACTGAGACACACCTTTGCTATAATGTCGCACCCCCCTCCCCCCCAAGTTTGACAAATGGGGCTTTAACTTTCTGTTTGATGTGGACTACAAGAAGGGTCAAGAAGTTTGGCTGATACATAACTCTGTTTACAGAGCTGTGAGAAAACAGCATCTGTTTATCGCCTGCGGTTCCAGGAGAGAGAGAAACCTTATAAATAAAGAAAAAGTAAAGCTGAAGCTGCGCACTACTAAGTGTTTCTCCATCATTTTTGGAGAGCATGAGGGTGGTCATCTTGGTCACGCTGTTTGGGCTCAGCCTCGCCCAGCACAATGCCCACATCAAGAATGGAAGGACAACCATTGTTCACCTGTTTGAGTGGCGCTGGGCTGACATCGCTGCAGAGTGTGAGCGTTACTTGGGCCCCAATGGCTTTGGTGGTGTTCAGGTAAACACAATCATCACATCCAGCATGCTTTATGTTCTGTTGGCTGAAACTTGGAAACCAGAAAGTTAAGTAAATTATATATGTTTTTTTTTCTGTTATTCCTGTATGTTTATGTGTCTATTTTAACTAAACCTATCTATTTAAGCACAATTATGTCCTCTTTTGCTCATATTATCATTTTAGTCAAACAGTCATTTTGAAACACATTTTTTAAAGTCCTTTAAGAAGCCAAGCATTGTTAAGTTTACATATATTTTACTTCAATTAAAGTTCTTGATTCGACTCTACTAGTATGCCGTCACGTCATGATGTCAAAGCACCCATATAGTAATGATGCATGTGCAACATTGGTGTATGGATGCACTATAAAACACTGATTAGACTTTATAGAATAAATTATTCAGATTAGCTTTGTAGATATAGAAAATACTGTATGCATTTGTGTAGAGTGGTTAATGAGGGTACATATTGTGTTGTAAAGCACTTCTGGTGACATGGTTGGCTAGAAAGACACTATGAGTACAGCCCCTTTAGCAGTATATTCTAAAATTTAAGTAAAACTTCTTATGATTATATTTAACCAAACAACAGTTGCTCAAGTTACCTTTAAAAAAACAGTTTTCTTATCTGAAAACAAGTTCATAACTCATGTCTGACAATTATGACCAATATTTATTTCCTTCTGTTCTGCTCAGATCTCACCTCCAAATGAACACATTGTATTAGACAGTCCCTGGAGGCCTTGGTGGCAGAGATACCAACCAATCAGCTACAAACTGTGCTCCAGATCTGGCAGTGAGGACGAACTAAGAGACATGATTACCAGATGCAACAGTGTTGGGGTAAACTACGTCACAAAATGTCTTGTACAAGCAATATGTTTAAGTTATTAGGCCACCATCAGTAAAACTCTAACTATGTTGAGTAACTTTTGAAGTATTACATTCTAATAATTAAGTTACTAAGTGGGAAAATTTCAAAGTAGGGCAAAATATAAAGTGGATACTGGAGTAACTTCAATCATGTAATCATTTATAGGTTAACGTCTATGTGGATGCTGTCATCAACCACATGGCCCGTGCTGATGGTGGAGAAGGAAATCACTCTTCATGTGGAAGCTGGTTCAGCGTCTACACCATGGAATTCCCCAGTGTGCCATATTCCAGTTGGGACTTCAATGACAACAAATGCTACACTGGCAGTGGCAATATTGAGAACTATGGGGACCCCAATCAGGTAATTACTGTAAAACAAATATGCCCAAACTGTGCTTTTATTTGTTGTTTAATGTTTATATTAGTAGGTCCTCAGTAAAATTATATATATATATAAAGTCATTACAAGTGAGAAGGTTGGGTATTGTCATCTGTTATAGACAAAATTTGTATCAGCTGTTGATCAGAAAAAACATAAATTGAATTCAACTTTCTTTTACTGGCTCCAGGTGCGTGACTGTCGTTTGGATCGTCTGTTGGATCTTGCCCTTGAGAAAGAATATGTTAGAGGCAAGGTTGCTGAATACATGAACAGTCTGATTGACATGGGTGTAGCTGGATTTAGGGTGGATGCTTGTAAGCACATGTGGCCCGGTGATCTGGACAATGTTTTCCGTCGTCTTAA